AAAATTTCCAAATATTGTACAAACAAGGTTGTCCCCTCAGACTATGTATTTATAATATTTTAAACTATAATATTATATGTATACTATTACCTGTTTTGCAGTTCTCAATCATTAAGGTAACTCGACTTATATAGCTCTTAGACCATACTTATCTCTTCCAAACATCCTCCCTCCTTCAGCCTCTCTACCTCTCAGCATCTATCTGTGTGACAGCTCTTTCGCTCTCTTCTCTCCTCATTTCCTCCTTTGGTCATGTTGGGACATAATATGCTTGCAGAAACTAATTTTTCTGCCTCTCCGTCTCTTCATCGAAGAAGCTGAGAGACACCTTATATGAGCTCAGATTGTAAAATCACATCCGTCACTCTCATTCTCCCTCTGCATTCGTTCGTCTTTTTTCTTTTCCAATTACTATATCACTCAATTCTCACACCTTTCAATTAAATTTTCCATTTCCATCAATCTCTTTCTTCACCTTCTACAATATTTTGCTTTTGAAATAAATATATGAAAAAGAAGAAAAAAGATGTTTCGCTACTTCCGTTCTCGTTTCAGCGAGACAAATCATCAACTATGAACTATTGCAGATTATATGTAATCCTTTCTTAAATCTTTTTTTTGCCAACGAACATTTATTTGAACATTTTTCATAATCTGCTCATCTGAATCCGTATGTTACAAGAAGCTGTCTTTTCAGCCTATTTCTTCACTTCTCTCCATCATCTATTCGTACATCTATGCTGCTGGACTACTTCTCGTCTACTTAATTACTTTCATGAAACACTTTCTCCAAGTTCTCATCATTTTCTTCCTCAAAATCACAAAAATAAACCGAAAATATTCTAATCTTTCGTCTCTCTCTCTCTCTCTCTGTGTCTTTCTCTCTCTTAGCCTCTCTTTACTTACCATAATTTCCCCTTCATTCATCTCTATCTCTTTCTCTCTCTCTCTCTGTAACAACCACGTACACACACATATTCCCTTCTTCACTTTCGTCACAGGAAGGGAGGGGGTCGGGTTAATTATTTATTATTTTATTTATTTTTATTTTTAATCTTTACAAGTCCATTTTTAGTCATAAATATTCTTCCCATGTTTACGTAAATTCTCCGACTGAAGAGAGAACCTCACAATGACCCACACTGAGCGCATATTTTATTTTTTTTATTTTACTTTTCTTTAACTAAAACAACAAGAAAGCATTCTGGTGTTAAACACATTTACATTTCAGTTTGTTGAACCTGACCTCTAAGGTTCTGCTTTGACTTTTTCTTTTTTCCTTTCACTAATTTCATGGAATTTGGTCTGCTTTCCGAACTATACAAACTCAAGAATCAAGTCGTCGTCACTACCCTTCCGGACTGCATCGTCAGTCCCGTCGCACTAAACTTCAATCTGCTTCTCAAATTAACCATTTTAAGGAGTTTTGATGTGTCAACGTTTCCATCACACCATTTATTTTATTAAAAATTCTTCTAACTATACCATCTCGTTCATCATTCAACATACATTCTCTCCAATGCATTTTCCACTTCAACTATTTTCCGACTAACACGTCCGTCTGACCAAGTTCAATCCTGCTCTTACAGCTCAGATCATTTAGCTTTTCCATTTTTAATTTGGTTTGAAAAATTTATTGCTCTCACTCACTCTCTCTCTTTCTCTATGCCTCCCCCCTCTTCAAGCATTTGCACACAAGCCATTATGAAATAGAACAGAGAATGATCAAAAATATTAAAATTTGCGATTTATAGTCTCACCTTGTCCTTTTGCTTTTCCAAATTACATTTTTTATATTCACTGTCGGCTGCATTTTTTCTTAATTTATTCTCTGTCACTCCTCTTCTTGTCTTCCGAGCTTTTCCTTCTCATCAGTCCGAAATTCGTAGTCCCTCACGCTGCTTTTACGTGATCAGCAGATGTCTCGAAGGGACCATTTTGACTTTCGTATTCGCATTAACCGGTTGTATTCCATCTCCTTCCCGTTTCTTCCTTAGTGACCCCCGCACCCTCCCCCCCTCTCTCGCTCACCCGTTACCTTACAATCTGTTTCACTTAATTTAGGACATTTAGCTTATTAACCTTTACATGGGCTCAATTGAATGCGCTTAGTCAAGTTGCTGACGAATTATCGTGGCAACTATATCTTGTTTCTCTCTCTCTTGTCTCACCTACATTTTCCCTCTCTCTCTCACTAATATCCTTTTGAATCATTTTTTCCACTGAAAAGCTTTTGAGAGGGAAGTTCCTTTTCCGCTTAACCAATCGACACAGCTTTATCTGGTCGTTTCAGAATTATTATTAACATAAACTTAAAAAAAATATTTTATTTATGATTATACGAAGTACTTGAAGTCTTTGTTTTCTACCTGACTAAACAGTCATTTCCATTCCCTGTGTGTCAGTATTTCAAAAAAAAGAAAAAACTTTCGACGTCTTTTCGTACAAACAAAGCCAACCACCCCAAAAACAGATATTGTTTTAATAAATTTTTTTTGTCATTTTTAATAATCTCTGTATTGAATTCAATTAAGCAGGTTGTAGCTGTATTCTTGAAATATCACGAAAGATCATTAGAGGACTCCAAATTCAGTTTTTCTTTGAGCAAAAAGTCATCAGATGAACTTTCAATGATGGCCCACTAAGAAAGTTTGATTCTTTCATTTGCTTGTAACTTAAATAGAAAATGTTGTTTGAAAAAGACTTTTATGGAGTTTGAATGTCAGTAGTTCATCTACTTTTGCAGTTGAAATGATGACAGAACACCAGACACTTCATCTATCTTCCTTCAAACAAAATCAATTCAAATCATGCTCTTCTGCTAGCTATTCCCAAGTGATATTCATCTTTTATCTTTTTAAACTCTCTTGACATTAACAAAGTGAATAAAAAAAGATTTTTTTTTCATTCATATTCAAGCTATGTTGCACATGTATGGGGTTGTCTCAATGCGCGCGTATGTTTCTGATTAAGACATTTATGGTAATGATATCATTGGTCTCAACTACTGACCATATATAGCCTGTGTAGTCTACAATTATTTTGTTATTCCATTTGTTATTGAGAGAGGAGAACCATAGCAACCACATACCTCTCTCTCATTCTACACTCTCTCATGATCTCTCTCACTATCTCAAGCATTTCCTCTTTATATTTCCATTTCTCTCTACCTCTCTCTTCTCTCTTATCACTTAATTTTGCTTCAAACAGTTCTCATTAAGCTCTCTCCAATCTCTTATGAATATGATATCCGACAATTCACTGGTTATAGTCTTTAATAGAACAAAAAAAACAAAAATTAGTTTTCCTCCCACTTCGCTCCATCGGTGAAGGAGAGAAAGGAGAATTCGGTTTTGTCTCATCTCATCGTTCGACATACAGAAAAAAACAAAAGTTCATGAAAATACGAAGGATATCATGAAAGCTAAGATGATACTAATAAAGGAGATTTTAATTTGAAACTGATCAATTTGTCATTTATTGCCCATAAAAGTACTTGGTGATGAGTACTGGCCATGAAAGGTCAACTGAATCATCAAAGCTTCTTTTCTACTTTCATATCTCGCACACACACACAACACATGCACATACACAACACACACACACACACACACACACATACACATCAAACATTCACATTTATAAATCGCCTCAGGCTATGTATCCAAACTTCCAAAAATAAAAGTTATTGGTGTCCTTTTCACCTTTTTCTATGCAAAACATCGTTCATCTCGTCTTTACTCATCCCTGAGTTCAACCTCAGCGTTTCGGAACTCAAAAATTATGTAAAAATTCCGTTTGCGACGACTCCTCTTTTATTCTCAAGTGCCTCACCATGATATGTCAGAAAAAAGAAGGAGAAAGAGAGAAAGATAGCGAGAGTGGGATTGAAAGGAAAGAGGTAAGAGAGAGAAAGAGAGAGATAGAAGATGTTCTGAGCAAGGGCAGAAGCATCTTCTGCCTTCCAACAAAAACTAACTTTTTAACAAAAACCTCATTATATATAATCCTCAGTTTATATAATTCATGTCTCACAATACACATAAGAGGCTTTTTCGAAATTCTCAACTTTTGACATTTTTTTTTTAACTTTCTTTTATTGTTTTTTTTTGTGCGTCCTGTTCTCTGTTCAAAAAAAAGTGAATAAGAGAAGGACAACAACGAATATCTCTCTATATTTATATAACTATATAACTTCTAAACTGCTTAAAACTTTCTAGAGAAGGGGGATCACAAATTCAATGAAAATAGTCATAGAAATCCTTATATGGGATAGGATTACGACTCTCTTATACCACCGACATCGATCTTACTCTCCTTTGTGACACAACCTGAACCTTTTAAGCTCAAATTTGAATATAATTCTTTCATTTTCGTCATTTCTTTAATCTTTCATCATTTCATTCGTTCATTACCAAATATTCTGTGAGCAGCAGCAGCAGCAGCAGCAGCAGTAGCACACAGCAGTATCAGTAACTCACAACGTACTTTCTCAACGTGCTCTTTCTCTCTCTATCTCTCTTTCTCTTTCTACCTCTCTCTGTGCCTATCTTTTTTCACCAAAAAGTAATTTGTAATAAAACTTTTTAGACTAAAAGTCCAAATAGGTTCAGTTTTGATAACTTTTCGTCTTCCAATCTCATAAACTAAAATGGCTTTTTATACTTTTTGCTCCACTTTTCTCTCAGGATTTTCGACGTCGTCCACTTGGACAAGCCCCATCATCCCCTCTCAATAGCTGAAACTTTTCAGGTTCTTCACAACTTATCAAATATTTTTCTAATTTCATTGCTTCAAAAGCATCATTTCTGATGCTTCTTCCTATCCATTTTTTGATTTCTTATATTCTCTTTCTGTCTCTCTGTCTTTCTCTCTATATCTGTCGATCTGTTTGTATGTCTTCACGTTCATGGCAATTCTGAGTTAAATTTTAAGCAAAGATAAGGCTCATCTCTGTGTGCTCTCAACTGGAGTAAGTGATATGACCGAATGACCGCGCAATGCAGTCACTTCGGTCAACCTCTTACTATCGAAAACGACGGGAAACAGCTTTTTCCAGTAAGTAAATCTCATCCGAAATCCATAAACAGAATGTTTTTGATTTCGTATATTCCCAGGAAAAAAAAGTTGCTTTTGAAAGATATTTTTCTTGAATTGATCACATATACTGATTTTCATGAAAGACTTCAGTTGTCCTTTGTTAATACTAAAACCCTCTTTGTATTGTTCATACTGTCTCTTCCACACATAGAAAATTATTATTTCTTCTTCATAAATCTTGAAAGGTAATAATAGATTTTCATTTCATCATCTCTTGATACCTTCTACAAGAAAATATTTAATTTTTCGCGTTCCTAAATTAGATTTTAGTCTTTAGCACAGCTTCAATAAGCCCTTTCAACATGAATATCCCATAAAGAGCGAAATAGAGGGGGAGATCCAGAGAGAAAGGGAGGGTAGAGGAATGCAGAAAGGTAGCAAGAGAGGTTAAAAGAACAAGAGAGGAAGAGTGAGAAAGAGAACTTCAATGAAATTGAAATGTATGTAATGATATAAAAAAAAGTTGTTCAGCTCGAAAAAATGGCCCCAAATAGTAAAAGCTTAAAACATCATCAGTTTGGATCGTGAGGTATCTAAAATAGAAATGCTGAGTGTTACATTGAATTAGGAAGAGAAAATCAATTTCTATAAGAAATTGAAATATCGTTTCGATTTATTTCTTAATTTGAATATAAATGAGAATGTTTAGGACACGGTCGCGACACTTCGTCTATCCACCACGCGGCGGTGGTCGAGGTTGGAGCCATGGTGCTCCAGAATATGTTCAGGTAAGCTAATTTATAATTGTTATCATCCTCATTAGACCCCGTGGTATAAGATATTTGATGAGAATGAAGTGATTGATACGAGTATTTAGAGTATTTAAGAATTAGGAAATAATATTAATTCGTTTTCGCTCATTTCTCTCCTTGTTCTCACGCATTCAACCGTTTTTTGCGTGCAGCTGACAATGTATGAGAAAAGGCAGGTCCACCCACGTTGGCACGCGTGCGTTACGTGAAGAAATACGTGAAATTCTAATTTTTCAATCAATACGTGATTATGTTAAGAGGAGGAATTGTGCGAAATGGAAATCTGAGTCAAATGATTGAATGTTATGGAAAAAAATTATTTTGTTCTAAACGACTGAATATGAGAAGAAAAGACGAATACACGTAAATTAGTGTGAGAACCAATTTGACTCATCTTATGTTACGAAGCGTTGAATGATGAAGAGGATTTCAAATATTCTTCAGTGAGCAGCTGTATGTATTCATCTAACCTTAGAACCATCCTCTATAGAAATACTATAATGAATACTAATTCATTAGCGTAGGATTTTTTTTTATTTCAAACCAACAAACCTAGGCCTCCTCTCGCGGTTGTCACACCCAGCTACTAGTCCTCATCCCCTCACCTTCTCTGTCCATAACCAATAATCACATTTTCAGTGCTCTTTCATTTCTTCATTATCGAAAAGATGATGACTTCGTTGATAGACTTTCTTATTTCTACACATCATCATTTCTTATAATGATGGCTGTTCTTGTTAGCTTCAAACAAGTAAACTTTAATTGCTTTCTTTTTCCTAATCATCAGCATAATGATATAGTTTGGTGGAAGACCACTGGAATGTTGGGTGCCAGCTCAGTTTACTGCTAGTTGGGAAGCTTACACAGAAATGTACTGTTGGGCTCAAAACACGTATTGGGTACCCATAGAACAGGTCAGCCCAGAATTGTTGGATTGAAAGATCTATAATTGCCATTTCAGGATATACCAGTTGATATATCTGAACGTGAATATAGACAAATATCCTATTATCAATGGGTTCCATTCTTCCTCCTCATACAAGCATTTCTTTATTATATTCCTTGTTTAATGTGGAGGTTGATGAGTGATAAATCAGGTAATGTCTTATTCCATACACATTGTCTCTAAAATACATGGTTAAGGGATTCGTTTAAACGATATAGTTCAAATGGCAACAGAAAAGGAAAATATTGAGCCAGATTATCGAATTCGTACAATCGAAAGTCTTTCCAGACACATCGAGGCAGCTCTTAGGTAACTTGTCGTATGCGATACGTTGAAACGAATGTCCGAATTTCAGGTATCAACATACGGCCACATCGCGAACAGAATACACCTTACATAGAGTTTTCAAATGTTTTAACATGAGATATTATGAAAGTTACGTGACAGGGATGTATTTGGTGAGAAAACTCTTCAGCTCTTTCTCTTCAACCTCCATTTTAGGCCACAAAGATAATGTATGTTGGAAATATTCTGACTAATCTTGTGTTAGTCAACAAATTCCTGGAAACCGATGAATATAGTGTTTACGGTTTGGGAGTTTTGAGAGATCTTCTGTTCGGAAGAACGTGGATGGAAAGTGGAAACTTTCCTCGAGTCACCTTAGTGAGTTCAAATCATGATCATCCGCACGCTAATTCCTTTCATTGCAGTGCGACTTTGAGGTTCGAGTCTTAGGAAACAATCAGAGACATTCTGTGCAATGTGTCTTAGTCATAAATATTTTCAATGAAAAAATATTTATACTTATATGGCTGTGGTTCACTTTACTGTTTGTCGCTTCTGCTTTAGATATGCTATATTGGTTTAGCATCAGCATGTTTCACAGGTTTTTCGCTTCTATCAGCTTTCACATCGACGCTTCTTTCCAGAGATCGACTTCGGTTTGTTCTTCGACATCTTGAATTAACAACAGATCCTGATAAGCCGGAACTGTTCCGAAAAGAAAAACGAAAACAAGTGGAACATTTTCTAAGAACTTACTTAAAGGTAAATTTACAGTCCATCATAGATGTTTCATTGAATCAATGATTACAGGTTGATGGTGTTTTGGTGCTCCGTATGATAGCAATGCATGCAGGAGTCATGTTCTGTACGGAGATTACAGATGCTCTATGGAAACGATATCTCTCTCAACATCCAGAGAACCTTATAGACGAAGATTCCTCTCTGATAACATTCGCCAGGTGGGGGTATGATTCCTATTAACATACTTTTATGTAGATCAGCTACAGTTAGATTATACAGAAATAGTATGAATATGATTGATTATAAGAATTTGTTCATTTCAGAGCTCAATCCATCCGTCGTAAGCGGCATGATAGCACAAACTCCGAAAGTCATCAACGGTTAGGAAGAATTCTTTCTCACAGGTGAAGAGGAACGAACAAATCCTGTCAAAAGCACGTTGACACGCTTGAGCATGTCCATATCACTCACAATATTATCCAAACATCACAACCACCCACTTTTTACAAACATATTCTCAGCTTATAACATGTTTTAAATCGGAAATGGCATTTTCAAACACGATTCTCCCGTTTTTCGCACATTTAAGCTCAATATTTTGCTAAATGTCGTGCAGCGTGGTGGTGACAAGCTTTGTTGGTTCGTCCTCGTTCGTCTTGCATTCCAAGATTGTCAAATACAAGTAAAGAAGTTGTAGTTTTACCCCTTTCAACTATCACTGAAAAGAATGCCACTTATCCTTAGAATATTTTCTTTTTCTTGTTGCCTTAAAACCTCAGCGTGAACAATAATTACAGAAGCACGGGAGGAAGCTTCCGCCTGAACCGTACCCAATCTACTAATCGGTCACTCAATACCGATAACAAAGGAAATCCTCAGCAAACTTCTGCTGGCGGTACGACTGTTGTTTCACGGTTAATTATTTTTTGTATTTATCTTCTCATTCTCTGTATTGTAGGTTTGGTAAAGTTCGAGCAGGAATTGTGACTTCAACTCCAACTAAGGTTGTGATAAACAGCCCTCCATCCGAAAGTGCTGATTCAACTAATAATGGGGACCCTCTCAAAGAAAAACGTGAAAGTGTCCCATTAGCGGTTTAATTTGAGAAAACCTGAATAGATTTTAATTTTCCTCATATTCTCAATACATTCTCTCTCTCTTTCTCTCTTATTTTTTTTTTGAATTTATAGAGATATACTCCTTCTCTCGTCGTCATTCTACGGGTCTTAGAGAAGAATAGAAGGATTTTCTTCATATACGCCTTTTGATGCTGTTTTCAATATGTTTTATAACGAATTTGAGTGTAATTTGCTCAAAACTTCAAAAATTGTCTTTTGTTTGATATCTTTCGAGCTCTTAACTCATCTCCTTTCTCATTTGTTTCTCTCTCTCTCTCAATCTGCCTGCTTAATTGAACATTTTTGTGCTGTCTACTACTATCTATCTATCTCCCTACTGCCAATCTTCTCCAAGTTTCAAGTTCTCATTGTGTGTAAGTTTCAAGAGATGTCCTCCGGAAACCCTTTTTTTATATTTTCATTCCTCCTTCCTTTATACGTACAAACATATCCAAAAACGTTGAACGTTTTTAGAACAAACCTTTTTTTATTGAATTTTTACAATTTTTTTCAAATAGAATTATGTATAAACAGTATAAGTATAGGCGTACTTTATGAAAAATTTTCATTCTGCTCAATTTGTATTATGTCCTGAATTTGTTGTTCAAACGGATTGGAACAATAATAAAAATTTATAATAAAATAAATAATTCTCTAATGACGACATAGGAATTCCCTTGCGTGCTGCTGAGACACGTATCATTTGTTACGTGGAAACTTCACGTGATTATTGGAAATTGTTTTCGGAGGCTAAAAAGGTGTCTCATTGAGTTTTGAACGGTTGCTTTGCTTTGTGTTCCACGTGAAACGTACAATGGTTAGGATAGTTTTGCGCTATTTTCAAATTAATTGAACTTTTTATGTTCTTCGAGGTACATTTCAAACCACATGTTAACATAACATATTTACAAATACAATAATGAAAGAATCACAATGAACTGACTCATGAGTGTCAGTTGATAACCTGTATTTCGATATCTCCATCCGTTACTGCTATATGAAGAATATTGTAAACGTTTAGCTATATAAGAATTTGCATAATCATAAGAACCAAAAGGACTTGAGAAGCATTTGTGTGAGTTGCATTTGTCTGTTGCACAGAAGCACCAATGTTCCGTAATCTCCATCTGCACAACAGGGATGTATGAGATCTTACTATTTTTCGTGTCAACTCACTTTATCAAAGTCATGAGGTAGATATTCCCCGATTTCGGAAATTTTCGAGTTGGTACCCAAGCCTAGATGCATATGCTGATCATCAGTTAAGAAATGTGACGAGCAACCACGGCCAACTCCTAAAGAACACATATTATGTAAAAAGTAGTGAAGTCATATAGAATACCGAGGTTTTTCGTATATCCCGTCTCTCTGTCCGTCCCATTGATGAGAAGAATAAAACAGCTTGAATGACAGGGTTGAAAAGACTCTGGCTTGAAATCTCTTGAAAATTAATTTTTGAATGTTTGAGTCAGAATAATATTACTTGAGAACGCATTCAGAATCACTGGCAGTTACTTCGTAGTTTCGTTTCAGAAATAGATGTCGCCATTGCTGAAAGAGAAACAGTTGAATAACAGGGAGAGAAAGAGAGAGAGGGAGAGGGGGAGGGTTGCTAAAAGAAGTTTCAAAAAAGGACTATCACTGACCCAAACGATAAACTCGTTTGCACATGAATAGCACTTAATGGCGTCTGACAAACCGCAGAACAGCCATAGTATCCAAATGAAATCAGCTAACAAATTCCGCATTTCGACATGTTGATATGGATAGTCAAACTGAAAATGAAAGTTTTTACTAAATATGCAAATAAATCAGTAAAAAAGAAAAAATAGTGGAAGAGTAAATTGGAAAGGAAATAAGGCTGAACAAGCTTTGATTAATAGTAAATGAACATAATGGTATAAAGATGATTGACTTGCATATCGTCAAATGCACAATCAGCTTATTTCCGTAACAGAAGTCGTTCGTTTTAGTTGGAAATAAAGTTTGTAATAACACGAATAGACAGTGGAAAGAGAGAGCAATAGGAAAGGAGGGATTATTTCATAGAGAGAGAGAGAAAGAGAGGGATAGAGAGATGAACAGAACGCTTGAAAGGGAATTTGATCGAAGGTCAGAGAGACAGAGATAGAGAGAGATGAAATTAAGAAGGGAAAACTTAAAGAGAGAGAATTATGAAGATAATCTATAAGAGGGAGAATATTAGGAATGTTCCGAACACCAGAAAGGGATAACTATAAAATCCATAAAATCAAATTACAATCCTACTAATGAAGCTACGATTGCCAATCACTATATATGTTTTGGATACGGAAAACCCAGTAAATAGTTCCATGAACTAAAAATAAAGGCAAAAAAACGTTTGAAGCGACAAGTTCTGAAGAAAACTTTACAGCCGTAGTTGGAAATTCACAAGGAATGATGACGTTCAAGGTAGAAAATAAGCAAAACTGGAGGGAAAAGTCATCTTCTCACGCAACTAAACAAGCTTTTTTAAGAAAGCTGATAAAGCTTTTTATAAACTTGTCTTAACATGTAAAGATTATTGAAAGATATTCTAAACTTGAGCTAGCTAGTCTGTGGATTATTGAGGAAATCCGAAATATTTGGTAAACTGAAGAAACGCTCTGAGAAAGAGGCTGGGTGGCCGAAGATAGAGAGAGGAGATGGCAATAGAGAGAAGCAGAGAGAAATAAGAGGGCAAAGAGAATTGGGTAACCGACTTCAATTGCGGTTTTAGCTCAGTTGAGTGTCATGTATGGCTGGGTGATTTAGGGTAGAAAGTTGAAATCTTGAGAACATTATTAGATCAAAATTATTGTGGAGAGAAGGCGAAACGACTATGCAGGAGGTGAGGAAGGAGAATAAACAACCTTTTAAAGAATTGCAAACCGATGGCATAATTCAATGGAAACATTGGAAAATCATAGAGAAAGGCAAACGTTGTCAGATTGTTTGAAACTCTTGAAAACTATTTCTCAATAGAAAATAAAGTAAAAATATGTAGAAAAACAAAAAAATTACAAAAAAATTCGTTTTCCATTCGGAAAAGGAAAAAAGGACATTTTGCTCTGCTACCGGCTACTCGGTAGACGAATAATCAAGGCTGGGTTAAGAAACGAGCGGAAATGCGAGAAGCTTTCAGTCCAAATTTGGTTATCGCTCGGCTTCGGACGGTCGTCGCCGTTGTCGTTGTCATTCAACTCGTTTTGTTTCTTCAAGCCAATCTCATGACAAACTTGAGTCGTGGATGACTCTGATCGGCGAGGTAAAGATATACGAGAAATCAGATTTTGACATCTGGCAAAATACATGATAGATGAATAACAATATGATAAATACTTTTATTTATGAAAAAACTATGGCGCTGTTGGAGAGAAATGAAGAAACTAAACATGTTGGCTGAAATTGAGGCGAGTAGGAGGAAAATAAGGCCAAGAAAGGAAATGTCAAACATTTTTTTTGTTCCTGAGCACGAATGGTATTTAGGAGCTCCATTCTATTTAGAAGCAAATCTTAAAGCTATGAAGTATTCCAGTAGGCAAGACAAAAATGCAAAGAAAGTTTTAAGAAAATTATCGAAAAAATAAAATTAAAGGAATAGAAAAGAACAATGACCACGTGCGGAATAAATATTTTCAATTGAAAACTGAGCCCCAAAAGATGAATGAGAAAGGAAAAAATAAAAGAAATGCCTAATCTCTCTGGCCTTTGACTTTCGAGAAAGCGGGGAGAAGGAAAGTAGAACTTGTGAAAGACATGTTGTAACTGATCAAATTGGTTTGATGAAGCTAGTGGTGTTTGCCAATTTAAAAGAAACAAGTGAATTGACTGCGGAGGCAGACAGGAGAGCAAGAGCACAACATGGAGAAGAAGCGAAACAGAAACAACGATAGAGATCTTCGAACGTACCTTCAACTCATAGGTTAATGTTATGATTGAGTTGAAATGTGCGCAATTGAATGAATTATGTTGGCCACATACGGCGGATGATGTGGAGTACAAAGAAATCTTTTGAGAAAGCTACAGAAACTCGGCCATCAAAGTCTTCCGGCTTTCGAAAGTTTTCGTTGCTGGACTTCTAACCTTAGAAATCAATGTGTAACTGAGCATATATGTAAATGAATAAAATAGGATTTAAATGAAAGAGAGACAGGTCAATATCATGCGAAGAGGAAGAGAGTTAGATAGAGAAGCAGAGATATAAAAAGGAACTCAGATGTGCAAAAATCAGAGATGTCAAACAGCGAATCATTAAAGAGGGAAAAGACGAATGAAAGATCACTTTACTATTAGGAAAGAAAAAAAAGATAAAAAAATGAGAAGTTTATCCTCATTTTTCACAAAAGTGAAGAAGGCGCATTCAAAACTTCAGAAATTAAAGGTTTACACATTGAAAATATTGGCTGAAAGAGATGTAAATAAGAATTGAACTTGATGAAATAACACGCATAATTATATATACGAATAGCTTAGTTATAACAAAAAAATAAAGTTAAAATCTGTTTTTACAGAACCTGGTAAACAACCGGTCGGCGTTTGAAAGGAAATGAGAAATGACCAGGCCCCACGGGTTTGACGTTAAGTTCCGTACGTGATGGTCTAGCAAGTGCATTACGGAAGAAAACACACAGAGCAACAATAAAAAGACTAAAATAAACAGAAATAAAGTTCTCAATAATTAACGGAAAGTTTTATTGAAATTTTCCACATCATTGGCTTCAAGTCCTCAAGTAGAATAAAAATCATTGAGAGCACAGCTGTGCTGCTTAATGGTTTTCGAATAAGACATTAGAGGCAGGCTGATTTCAGGATGAAAAAATAATTTTCTTTTTGAAGTTTCAAAAATGCTCACCCAGTGGGCGACAAGATGTCCGTGTGTAACCCTATTTCAACATTCATGAAAAATAAAAATCTCTTATTATTGCTTCACTTGGGTGTTGCTTGTACAAGCCTTCTTCTTCATCTCCTCTGCCTCCGTCTTACTCTCCTCCTCATATCTTACACATACAGATGTTGAAAAACGAAAAAATATATTTTACATCAATTCATCTGAGTCTCTTATGAAGTAACACGAAGATGTTTGAAGAACATAACTGATCACGCAATTTCACTAAACGAAAAGCCTATGAAGAACAAGCAAATGAACAGAATGAGATTCGATATCTACGACAGCTACAAAGCTTTTTTCTTTTTTTTCTTTTTTCTCTTTTTGCGAGAAGAAACATCAAAAAAAAGAGAAAAAAGAGCGAATATTCGGCATCGGAAGCTTTGAATGGGGTTGAGGCTTTTTGAGAGGAAATAACACTTTAAGAGATTAAAAAATAATCTTTAAATAAAAAAAAGATGCCCATAATTAGTAATAAAGCGAGAAGAAAGAAAGCGGAAGCTTTAAATTGAACAACCAACTAATGACCTCATTTGACTTGAAGCTGAACTAGGAGACCAAGCGGATTAAGCAATATGTCATTTGATATTGCTGCGAATGTTTAAAATATTTTTATGTATGTTTTAGATTATATATCACATAGTTAACACAAGAACAAAGAGAGTGGAGAAGACAAAAAAAAGTTTTTTTTCTCTCTTCTGCCATTTTCTTCTCATTTTCATTTGCAGTATCATCATTGGCTTCATATTTGAACTGAAGCTGCAAATAAACAGAATTGTTTTGAAAAGTCTAAATTTGGACAAGGATTAGATCGCTTAGATAGAGAGAGCACGCTTCATGACATATAAGCATAACCATTAGGGTTATTACATATCAGTTTACATATGTTTCTATTCGACATTTCGTTTTACTTTCTCTCTGAAACTGCATAATCGTGATGAGACAGAGAGACAGCGATAGAGAGAGAGAGAGATAAAGAGAGAAAAATATGTAAAGAGAGATGAGGGGATATATAGACGGAAATACACTTCGTGGGAGGTTTTATGAAAAAAAAAATATTTGACAAGAACTCCTCTAGAGAATAAAGCCGGAATATAAGAAAAAGTTCAATCTTTTAAGCTTCTAATGGCAATCCAAAAAGGAACTCACAAGAAGCTTTTCATGGACCTTTTTTTGCAATAAAAATAAAGAAGACAAAGAAAAACAAATTGTGCCAAGAAACCTCATTCAACAATTTATGTAAAGATTGAAATGTCGTGACTCTTGGTGTGATGTAAATAGTTGATAGGCTAAAATGTCCATCCGACGTCGAAATTCAATCCAAGCCATTAGGATTTTTGGCAGAAATACTGGAGAGAGTATGAGAAAACGACAAGAAGAAATAAAAGGCAGAATAAGGAAAGGGAGTGAGGTAGGAGTGATGGATCAGGGTGAGTTGAAAAGACAAAAGCGGAAATGAGAGTAGTTGTAAGTAAAGAAGAAATGAGATAGAAAAGAAAGTATAAGAGAAACAGAGAGTCAGAGAAGAAAGAGAGAGAGAGAAAGATTGGAAAAGCCAACCGTCCTGTGTATGATACAAAGCCGAATTGACGCATGGTGAGATGGCAAAGAAGTCGGTGACGTGAAATCGTTCCACGTAGTGCATGCATACGCTAATTAGATTTAAGTGTAATCATACAATATGATGATGAAAGATTAAAATAATTTGGAAATTCTCTTTCTCTCTTACTCTCTATATCTTCCTCTCTCTCTTGTATTTCTGTTTCTCACTATAGAAATAGTGAGAGGGCAGCAAAAAAGGAAATATGTCATTACATTTAATATTTTTCATTTCATAGCCATTGGTGCAGAAAAAAAATG